GTCCGAAAGTTAACTGCAACAAAGAAAATGCAAGTAAAATCAATTATTTTAATTTAATTTAAATGACATGCAGTCCCAAATAGTCGTGGGCGTGGCCAGGCAACCAAGCTGATGGGCAGGCAACAACAGCTAACATGTTTCAACATTTTTAATGAATACCTAGAAATGTCAACGTGGTCTATTTGCATTTGCTGCTGCCGTTGTTGCCGTTGTTGTTGCTGTTATTGCTGCATGCGGGCACGGGAAACAGATCCGAAAACTGACAGAAAAATCGATGTAATTAAAATGACGCACAGCCTAATTGGCAGCGGGGCAGCCAGGCAATGGAATTGCAAATAGTTTCGCAATTAAAATAGGTCAAAGGCAAACACGGATAATCGCCAAAAAGAAAAAACAACCTGAACAAAACTAAAAACCTACCCAATAACATCAAAGCTATATAATATGCTAGTAATATACATTGAAGAGCATATAATTGGCAATAATTTAAGCAACTTAATTAACAAATCCATTTTCAATGATTGCCTTAAGGATTATGAGAAATAAAACAGGGCATAAAAGGTATCAAGCAGGAGCACAAACGGATTAGATAGAATCTGCCTCTCTGTTAATCTTAAACAATTATTATACAAAGCATTTCAATGTTCATACAAAATTCTATAATTTACATTTTATCTTTCAGTAAGACGAGCATTCTGCTAAACCATGAGAAAAGTTGGAAGCAAATGTTTAAAAATTATTAAAAATATATATACTTAGAATAGGCAGATTGGCATATGTAACTAGGCTTAAGCCAAATATTAATTTCAATTCATCTGTGCTGTGCTCTAGTCTACTATTATCCCCTTTCCTACTATGAATACCAACTATATTTATTCATTTAATTCGATGTTCTTCCGGTGCAACTGCGCCCTAACAAATCTTTGTTTTTACTCAGAATAATATCTGCTGACTCAGCTGATTTCCTGTTGAGCTGTGCCCAATTGAGCATTATTCTCTTTGGGTTTAGACTAAGAGCAAGCACCCAATAAATCGAATTGTTTGAAATTGATGAAAGCCAAATGTAATACACGAGGCGAACAAATATATATCTAGCTTGCGTGTGTACATATCTGCAATGATTGATCCAAAAGCATTGTTTCGTCAAAATAAGAGGCCAATTTTTTATCGAACAAAATTCAATAGTATCTATGTTGATTAGCAGCTATAATTTATGGCCGTAAAGATTAGAGAAGGAAGGTTCCTGAGTGCGACAAATCATCAAATTTATATCTGATCAACAAACAAAAAGATAGTTAATCCAAAAAAATAGGTAAGGTTCTTCGATAGTTGAAGAAGTAATTTTCAAAAATAATAAAAAATACCTAAGCAAAGAGAACGTCAAAAAGATCTTTTAAATTAATCTGAGAAATGGTTATTTTACTATGAAATGAAATCAGATTGTTGTCTAAGTCTTTTCAATGTCTGTGGCCTTCACCTACTACTTATTTATTTCGCTTTATATTGTATCCCAACTTGTTCACCTTTGCCGTGTTTTGTTTTTTTTTTTTTTTTTTGCCCAAATATTTTCGTCTATTTTTTCTTCCATTTTCTCGGGCTGGCAGAACGCAAATCGTGCGAAAAACTAATATTTTAAAAATAAACAAACAACTGGCGGGCAGGGGAGCGCTCCGATACGACGGCATATGTATTGAGAGCCGGCAGAAGTACCAAGAATTATATTTTCGAAATATTTTTAAAATAACAAAACGAATGCGATGAAGACTTTGTCGCTGCTGCTGCTGCTGTTGCTGCGACGCACTTTTGAGGTTAAGTGGCAATGGGAAATATATAAAAATATTGAAATCGGTTTACAAGTGGAAATTACATAAATGCAACGAAAAAATAAAAAAAAATTATTCAAAATATTACCTTTGAATTTGACAAACAAATTGCAAATTGAGCAATGTAAATAAAACTTGTTGCTCTTTGAATTTCGATGCGATTACGAAACACTTTTTTGATTTTTATTTATTTATTTTTTTTTTTGGAGGGGGGAGGGGGAATTGCTTTGGCTACTTTTGTAATAATCGAAAACAAACAAACCGAAAGATTTAGGCGAAAACTTATGCAAAATAATTGGCGTTTGATAATGTTTTAGTTTTGTTTGGTATTTGAAAAAGTTAACAAAACGGCGAAAAACGAAAAACCAAACGAAACTAAACTAAAGCCAAAACCGAACCGAACACGAAACAAATGTTTAACAGTAATAATAATAATAATAATAACGATAATAATAATAATAAGGAAATAAAATCAAACGGAAAGTAGAAAAAGAACACGTTCCTGCAACTCAACAGAACAGAAATAAACTGATTCAGCGAACGCTATGGAAAGTATTTTTATGCCGTCGACGCAGTGAAAGACAAACGGCAACAAGAAGAGTCGAAACATCGCATAGCCATGGGGGCAGAGAGTGAGAGCGTGAGTGTGAGCGTGAGCGTGAGAGTTCTTTATACATGTGATGCGGGAGTGTGAGAGCACTCTGCAATGCTCTTTGCATTTCCCATTGTCTGTGTACGAGTGTGAAGAGCAAGGCCTCCCCACCTAGCGGGTGGTTGTGTATAGATCAGAGTGCTCTCTATGTAAGCTTGTATGTACATATGTGCGAATGTCTATAGAAGCTGCTGATGATGACATGTCTATGTACGAGGAAACCGCAGCGCAATAATTGGATTATATGTAAAATGGCGAAGTAACAGAGAGGCATGCTATGCCAGCTATGCCACATTATGCAAATCACTCAAACTAACATTTGCAACTAACAGTGCCAATACAGCTGTTAAAACATATAGAACGACATGTGTTTGCAAAATTACAAACAGCTGCCAATATCTGATATCGTATACGCATTAACTTTCTGTACCGTCTGATTAAGGCATTTTCATAAATGAGCTTTTCATTATAATATACTTATGTATATACATATAGGCTACATAAAGAGTTTATGTACAAAAGCTCAAAACGATTTGTAAGATAAAATAAAGATTATAAAAAAGGAAAAGATCACCTCATTTGTCCTAAGGCAGGTTCGTTGGATCTCTAGAAGGCAGAGCTAATTTATTGTTAGTTTACTGTACAGTAAAAACTATCTCAACGGACACGACAAAACTATTAATTGCACTTTAAGGATTATCAATTATTTTTAACAAGTCAAAATATGAACTTGATCAAAAATTAAAGTCGACAGTTGCGCTTCTAGTTATTTTTACTTATTCTAAAAACTTCCGTAAAAAAAAAGCAGACTGTCAGTCCAATAAATATGGGTTAGATTTAACAAGCAATAACTACTTTGTATATTACCCTGTTAAGGCCAAAGTACATTGAAAAGAACTTCACCTAAAAAATAGGCTGCACCTACTCACAGTAGAATACGCCCCTTTTTGCTGCACCGCCCACCAAAAGTAGTGTAACATAAACCGGCAATTTTCATTCATAAATTGTTTAAAATTGTTTCCGCTTAATAGACGCTTACAAAAGTTCAGGATATAGCGAAAGCTTCTTACGAACGACCAACCCATTGTTGCCACCCTTCACCATTTCGCCCAACGGGCAAGCAATGCAAAGTGGCTAGAAACCGTTAGAACAAAACAAAAAAGTGACACACCTTGCAGCAGGCAAAAGCAAAAGCCAAAATCAGCCGAAGTCCCATGAAATAGGAGGAGAAGCAGCAGAAGACAGCAAGAGGCAAGCTAGGCAACGTTGCTTTTGGGTGCGGCAAAAAGAAAAAAATAAAGAGAAAGAGAGTGAATGCAGCCGCAGCGCAGTCAACACAGCTGCAGCAGCAGCAGCAGCAGCTGTCAGCTGAGCGCGCCTTAAGATATGCAATGCATAGAGAGCAGGAGAGCATAAGCTAGAGAGCGCGTTTAGCTGCAAGCGGCGACGCCAACGTCGACTGCGTTTTTTAGGTTAAACGGCGACTGCAGCCGGCGCTGCACGAAACGCAGCCGTATTTGTGCATGTGAGTGTAAGTGTGTATGTGTAGGCGGCATTTGGCAGCAAAGTGTAGAGAAATGCGCTCAGCGACGCAGGGCCGCCCATTGAGCCAAGTTTTTACTATCGTGAGTGTGCTTGCATGCACACATATATATATATATATATATATAGGTATGTATGTGTGTGCATGTGTGTGTGTATGTAAATGCGAAAAATCGACCATGGGTGTGGGCACTTTACATGCTAATATGCAATTACAAGCACAGAAACAATTGGAAATTACATTTTTTCTTAGTTAACCGTTGCTTACTTTTGTTGCATTTGGCTGAGTGCTAGAAAGAGCGCCGCAAAATTATTCTCCACTTATTTTGTACACAATTTTAGCATAGGTTTTGCATTTCTTTTTAATTTGAAAAATTGGAATTTGAGTCGTTTTAAATGAGTTTTGAAGTACACGCACAAAATTGTAGATTTGAACCGATATACACAATATACGATGCATACATATGTGTATGTGCATGTATGTACATATATATGTAATTATGTGAGTATGCTAGATGTGTGTATTATACCGATATACAACAATTTATAAACGACGACGATACGACGATAATCAAAAAACACAACTTGCTGCCGGAGAGTGCAAGAACTAAATGATTAAAGTGTTCAATTGCCGCCAGGATAAATGCAGCCAGGACAACGAAAACGTCGAAGTCGACGCCAACAGCGCAGCCAACTGCTGCAGCCACTCTCTCTTCCCATTGGGTCGTACAGTTGCGCGGCAGCACGGACGAGACGAATGCTGAAACAAAACTGCGTAGTTTTTGCACAGAACAGTGGAGCAAGCCAAGCTTTGTGTAAGCTAGGCCTAATTATTTGAAAATTTCAATTTTAAGAGAATTATTTGACATTACGCTCAGTTTTTGAGACCTTTTGAGTCTACTAAACCGTTTACAATTGATCTATGAAAACCAATCAATTTCAAGTTGAATAATTTCATTTAATCTATCTATTTTTCTTTTTAGGATATACAAGTCACATTCTGTTACCAAATATTAAGTGCTTTCTTATTATATTACTATCTTATACTTCGATAGTCGAAAGTAATTAACTTGTACAATAAAATTATTACAATATCAAAAGTCTGATATCTGTGCTAGAAGAGGCGCACCACTGTTCAGGCAACACAAAATTTGCTACATTAAGAGGAGAAGAAGAAGAAGCGGAAGATGAAGCGACACAACAATAACAAAAGCTGCAGCGCCGAATGCGCAGGTACAGCAGCCCCAGCAGCGGCACTAACAGCGTCAGCAGAAGCAGAAGCAGAAGCGCACTCGCTGCAACAGTCAGTCAACAATATAACGGTACTGCACATGCTCTTCGCTCTGTAAATTAGTTGCTCTCTCTCGCTCAATCACGCTCCAACACTTAGCCGAATACCCTACATTTGGATAGAAAACATAAACAAGGAAATGCAGCGACGACGACGATGACAACGAAACAGATTGCGGTAGGTTCTCTGCTAGTGAGGAAGGAGAGATAGAGAGAGAGCGCAAGAGAACGCCGGCCGCACATCAGCAACGAGCCAACGTTGGGCCAACAGTCAAAAAGGCACCCAAACAAACAGTAAAACCATCGCGCACACGCACACGCACAAGCACACACACTGGCGCCAAGGATTTGCAAGCATAGAACGGCAGCTGACTGAGCTGCGAGCGAGCGGCGGGCAAATGAGCCGAAAGCCGAGTGGCGACTGCACCAGGCAAGAAGCTCAACTTGACATCATTTGTGTCAAAAGACCATTGAACTCTGTGCGGGGGAAGTTGTGCCTCCTCTACACTCCGCCCCCTTCAAATCGTAGCATGCTCTGTGCATTGTTTTGTTGCTGTTGTTGCGGCTCTCTATGTGGCGCAAGCAGCAAGTGTTTACATGCAAATACATATAAACACATACTCAATATGTATGCATGTGTGTGTGTGTGTGTGTGTGTGTGCGTATTGCTATAATCTATACGAAGGCAACTGCGCCCGCAAAACTGTGCAGAACACAGTAATTACAATAATTCACATTTTTACCAGTCGCCTTATAACTGTGGACTCTTTTATGATTGTCTCTCAATAAACATATTAATATTAACTTTTTTTATCTTTGTTGGCAACTGCTCAACAATAAATATTGTACACAGTTATTATGCTGATGAAACATTTGCCTGATAAATTAAAGTCTTGTCCATAGAACTTCATATTCAAACTGTTTAACTTTTGCTGCTTTTCTTTAAAACTTCAAAGCTCGTGCAGCACTTGCAAAACCTATGCAGCTTTCTACAGCCTATGCTCAACAAATGTAGACTTAATAAAAGCTGTAAAGCTTTCAAAGTGCACGCAAGCAACTACAACTACAACTACAACTAGTTAAGAGTGCATTGATGTATAAGAGCGTTAGAATACAAATTAAGAGACTTACCTTACGCTAGCTGATTCCAGTACGTCAGATATTGCTGCTGCTCCTGAAACTGATGTGCGGGCTGAACAGTGTCTGGATACTGTGCTACACGGCATCTCTTAAAGCACTGAACGCCACTCGTATGCTGATATTGTTGTTGTTGTTGTTGTTGTTGTTGTTGTTGTTGTTGTGCGTGGTTGTTATTGTTAAGCGTACACTGCGTGTAGGTGTTTGTTTCCATATAATAAACGCTTCCATGATAATTAGCCGTCTCGTCCTGAGCAGCAGCCATGTACGGCGCGCTATTGACAGCGGGCCACTGTGCGCTACAGTGGTGCCACTGCTCTGCCAGGGCTGTAGCTTGTTCAAAATGTTGAACCCAATGCCAATTGGGTACTTGCGCAAATGGATTCTCCGGGATCCACGACTGATGATTGGAATTCAATGCAGGCTGCTGCTCATAGACTTTATCGTCTGCCCACTGTTGGGCCCGATATTGCGGGACTTCTGTCTGATTGGCATCTTTGTTTGCCCACTGTGCGACCTGTATGGACGACTGTTTGGGTAACGGGGACCAGGGTTGCATGCCAGGCAATTGAGCTGACGTCAGTTGGTTGCTGGAAAGTTGCTTCTTAATATCGGCTACCCACTGTGCGCTCTCGCTGCAGGCTTCGGCTGCATTCAGCTGCTGCTGCTTTGGCTCTGCTTTGATATGCTGCTCGGCCGGCGAACGCAGCAATTCGGCAAAATCAAATATCAGCGGCTTTTCCAACGTCGACTCCGCCGAGCCGAACGAGTTGTTCAACGAGGAGAGGGGTGTTGGATTATGCCGTATTATCGCTTCCAGTTCAGCAGCTTCGGATGCGCGTCTTTGCGCCAGCGCGTTTGCTTTCGTTCTGCGCTTGCGACTGCGCCGCTTGCTGCGCCGCGCGCTCTTTTTGGCAGCTCTCTCGTTCTGCACGTCCTTTTCCAATTTGGCGCTGCCATCGACGGACTGCGACTGACGGCAGCAGGTTTCACATAGCTTTTCCTCGGCGCGACGTTTTTGATTCTGTCGCTGGCGCCTGCGACGTTGAGTTTTGCTTTGATAATTCGCTGCAGCCGAATTTTGGTTCTCAGCATTTGCTCGTCTTTTTTGTTCCATGCTGCACACAAAAACAAAACAAGCGAGACACGTGCACAGCTTGAAATCAAAATGGCGCGCAAACAACAAATGTGCACGCGAATTCTTGCAGGTGTTTTTCTTGTTGTTTCGCTGCGCTTTGACTGTGCCTTAAACTTCCGCCTTATTGTTTAATCAAACTTGATAAGAAAAGTTAAGCACAGTAACAAAAACAAAACAAATATAGGAAAAAAAAAATTACAAAATGTTTAAACAAGCTGCGCCACAAGCACACGGCAAAACTACAAGAAAGCAAGTGCTGAAAAGTGTTAAAGTTTGCCAGCGGCGCTTTACAGCACAGGAAACGGTTATTTTTCTGCAATAAGCAGCGCCGACAATTTGCTTAACATACGTGTATATAAACATATTATATATAAATAAAAAACATATTTAAAGAATTGCAACAAATATTTGGCATTTAAACAATAACAATTTATAGATATTAATTAGAATTACAGCAAATTGCTTAAAAGCTGCCGCTGTTTTGTTTAATGTTAATCTTAACAGCGGCTGTAAAATTCGCTCAGTTCTGTTAAGTTTAGCATGATTTCGTTGAGTCCAAACGAGTTCGCCGCAAGTGAGGTTGCGGTGTGGCGACAACAATGTAAAACCTGCTGCGCGCGCAATTGAAAATAATTAAACGGCATCTTTTAAATGTTACAATTTTGGTTTTTTATTTTGATTTATCAACTACTGTTACGGTAATTGCATATTAAATTGGTTGTTGTTCTTGTTTGTTGTTTTTGTTTTGTTTTGTTTTGTTTTGTTGCTTAAACTTTAATAAGTGTACTTGGTTTTTGCTGCTGCGGTTGTTGTTTTGTTTTTTACTCGTTTTGTCATTTGTACAAAATATATAATATATATTTTTTTATTACTTATATATGTATCATTTGTTACCTTTACTATGTTAATGAACAATTTCGTTTTGTTATCAATTGTTGATTTTGCTGTTGCTGTTTCTCGTTTTCTTCCCTTTTTTTTTTTTTTGTTTTTGTTGTTATTTTGTTTTTTGTCCAGCTTAAAACTTAATTCTGTTGGTTTTTTACGGTTCGTTTTGCTTATATTTTGCACTACAATAACGCTTAACAAAATATAATTATTAACTATGCTTCGCTTCTTAAATCGTCTAGGCGCATTTTCGTTTCGTCTTGTTGTTTTCTTCTTCTTTTTGTTATATTTTTTTTCTTTTCTTTTTTTAATGATTTTTAAATTTATTATTTGTAATATTTATTGCAAGATTGCTGCTTGTTGTTGTTGCCGTTTGAAAAAATTTAACTATAATTCATGGTTTTTCTTTTAGTTGTATATATATAAAAATATATATATATATATATATATGTTTATATATGCATGTAAATGTGAATGTATATATATGTATTTATCGATATACATATGCAAATGTACGTGTGTATGCGTCTATGTCTGTGTGTGTGTGTGTGTGTGTGTGTGTGTGTACGTAATTGTGTTCGTTAAGTTGCTTTTTATTTACAGCGCTGGAAATTTTAACAATACATATGCACATACATACACACATACACACAGGTGCATGCATACATGTATATATATGGGCATGTATAATTTTGAATAATTACAATTAATGTTGCACATATCGCACAATAAAATTGCGCACTACGATATTTCATTTTGTTAATGTTCTCGATTTGTGTATTTCGTGTTCTGCGATACCCTTGCAGAGGTTATGCCTCTTTTGTCACGCCTTACGCAACAGTTTCTAAAGGAAACAGATCGGTTAGTGTAACTAATGGTCGTTAAGTTGAAGTATATCTAGTTATGAATTGCATTTCCGAATCGAGAATCACAAATACAATATCTGTATTTATTTATATATGTATATATATATAAGTAGCTGCCATAGGAGCGATTTGTTAAAAGCCCGTCTGCAAGGGTATTTGAAAATTCGTCTGGCCGAACTCTGGTTTTTGCAGTGTTGTTAAGTGGTAACTTAAAATTTGACTAACATTAAACGTTATGGTTTCATTTTTGAAAGTTAATGCTTTGTTTCCCCAGAACCACATATTGTATAAGTACATTATATATCTATGTATATATATATATATATATGTTTATTAAATTTTTGCTTTTGCTTACCGTTTTCTTAGTTTGTTTTTCGTTACGTTTTTCGCTTTGATTTTTGAGTTTTCGCTGCGCTTTGCTTCGCCTTGCTTCGATTACGTTTTGCTTGTTTTTTTTTTCGTTTCGCTAACGCCAAAGTGCTGCCAATTAGGCACAATAGTGCTGCCCATTTGCTGCGTGTCATCAACGACTTAGAATTAGTTTATTGCATTTGTTGTTTTTCTTTTGTTTTTTTTTTGTTTTATGTTTTTTTAATACGAATTTCAGCTTATTGACTATAACTTGATTTTCGCTTTGCTTTTTGGCATATTAAAAATATATTTATATATTTATGTATGTATATTTCCGATATATGTACAATGTATGTGAATTGTTGATTTCGGTTTGTATGAGGGCTGGGAGGAGACGGGAACGTTTGTAGGAGGCGAGTTAACATTTTTATTAATTGCTGCGCTTTGTGTAGGCTGGAAGAAGACGGGGGCGGTTGGAGAAGGTGAGTTTTTTTTTTATTTCGATTAATTTTATTTTTTGTTTTTGTTTTTAATTTGAACTCGTTTAATAACTACTAATGCACTATTAGTTGTCGCGTCTGTTTTGTGAGTCTCGAGGCACCGCAAAAACTTAAACAAAAAGAAAAACAGAAAGTACAACAAAATGAAACAAAATGAAAAAACTTTGCATATATATGTGAGACATACATATAAATATATATATATATATGTATATATATATATAAATATCAATATAATTATATATATCTCTCGTTCATAAATTGTTGTTCTAAAAACGTGATTGCTTTCTTTTAAAAATTTACTTTTAAAATCAATAATATATTATAAACATAATTAATAATGTATTAATATAACTATATAAAATAGCGTGTTTTTGTTTTTGTTTGTTTTTAACTCAATTTAAAGTTACGAAACAGTAAAAATTTGCATTTAAATTAATTTAATAAAAACCATACTTATGTTAAGATTTTAAGAACGTTTTTTTTTTGTTTTTCTGCTTAATTGTTGTTGGTTCTTGCTTATATACAATAAAGAGTTTTCGAGTTTTGTTGCTATTGTTATTGTTTTCAGGCGCATTAACATTTTGGCCAGCGAGAATATATATATATATATATGTATATGTATACATATAAATATATAAATATATATATATATATGCAGATACATAGATATATGTGCAAACGACAAGGAGAAATTAACTAACTTAAATATTAAAAAGCCATTTTTATTTTATGCGTAAACGAAAACAAAATTCAACTAAAGTTTGTTTGGGCGCCATATTTTTTTCTTTTCTTTACCTACAATCTAGAAAACATATATATATATATAAAATAACTTGATTTTGATAATGTGTGTGTATGTGTGGTAATATCAACTAAAACTAGGCATAAATATAAAGCTTAAATTGCTTAATAAGAATGAAGAAACCAATTGAAAACTGAGCGTAAGGAAATAAGTAAATGGTGTGCATATTGTTTATGTATAAAAAGGAGTAACTAGAAATTATTAACAAACATTTTGCTGATGTTCTTGTAGTTGTTGTTCTTGTAGTTGTTGTTGTTGTTGATTTTGTTGGTGTTGTTGTTGTTGGAAGGTTTCATAAGCTAAACAACTAAATTTATAGCTGTTGCTGCTGCTAGTATACAATATAATAATTATAATTATAATAATAATAGTTGCTAGTTTGGCCTGACTTTCATTTAGACACGTTTGGTGGTGATGATAATGTTCTTGTTGTTGTTGTTGTTGTTGCGGTTGTTGTTGGTGTTTCTGTTGCTGTTGCTGTTGGTCTCGTTGTTGAGGCTAAAGTTATTGCTACTGAGACTGAGGATACGAGACAGCATCGCGTAGCGTCTTAAGGCCCGCCTGCACATACCGAAACACCTCATGCATGGTGCTATGCAGCGTCAAAGGCCCATTCTCGTGATCCAGTTTGCGTATAAAGTCTGAAAATATTTGCATGTGTTTAAAATGGTTTGTCTCTACTATGGATTAAGCTTGAATTATATATAAATAATATTGAATATTTATTACCAAGGATCTAAACTATTCGAGGGTGAGAGCCCAATTGACGCATCGTAAATTTCCCCCCAAATGTTATTTATCATAAAAATTATTAATTTTTTGCAGCAAAACCTAAATTATGATCTGTTCACTTGACATTAAGCAGATTGATTTCCCCCAATTTCTTTTCATATAGATAGATAGTGATTCAGAAACTGATCAAATAAAATATAAAAAAAGAAAAACAGGCAGAACTTTGCGAAAATTCAAGGAAGATTAATTATCAAGAATTTTTGCGTTGGCGTTGATCAACAGTCGGTTAGTCAGTCGGTTTTTTAACCAGTTTTATATATATATATATATATATATATAGATTGATATGAAGATTACCTATATGATTGCCGGTGCGCACCAATCGATCGGCTTGATCCCACAGCTCATGAGCGCTGTTCACATAGGTGAGATACTCATTCTGCTTGCATAGCTGATTGTGTATGTCTTGAGGCACTATTTTGCCAGGCGGCGTATTCGAACCGGAGCCCTAAAATAAATTCATTGCATATATATATATAGATTATATTTGTATTACACTTCAATTATATTTATTTGTATTACCTGTGAGCCCACTGAGTTCGATGGTGATATGGAGGACGGCGTATTGCCATTCAATATATCCCCCCTGCCGGAGCGAAAGAATTCCGAGCAGCTGGCTATTGTTGCGCGACAATTGGCACGTCGCAATTTGTAAAGCTTTAAGGATATCAGCGATTGGCAGCGTAAACTATAAAAGCAGAGATTTCGGAGCAAGCATTAGCTTCAAATTGGTATTTTGCTATATATATTCCATGAGGGAAAACTCACCTGAGTATGGCCACAATGTTGTGCGATTCGTGCTTTCCATTTGTTAACTGTTGATACGGTCGATTCTTAGAGGAAATGTATCTGAAACAGAAACATGAAATATATTGTTAAATATAAATATATATTAATAAACATATGCATGCATTAAATAAATAAAATAAAACTAAAAAAAGGTTCATAACTGCTTGAAATTTTGTACGATGTGCATCACACTTTACTCACTTAATTAGCGACAGGGTGTCCTTGTACATGGTCCATGTGGCCTCCATGTTGCAGCGTTCCATGGCATCGGCGGTTAGCAGGAAATAGACAATTGCCTCCAGGTAAAGCGTCATTTGATTAAACGAGTCACGCTCCGAATCAGCTGCGCGCTTTCTTCTGATTGCCTCCTGCAGCAATAGATCGTTTTTCCTGCAAAAAAAAACAATAATGGAATATTAAAATTTCGCTCGTTTGTTATAATCAAATATATATATATATATATATCTATTCAATCGTATTTATTTGATGCCAGTCACATTCGTGACATTTATAATTTTGAAAGTAAAGTTAAAAAAGGAAATCTTGTTCATTTTATCTTTTCAAATATCTGTAAAAGTATATTTCTATTGGATTCAATCGTATTAATTGTTTTGATACCAGCTGCATTCCACTGCATGTCATTCGTGCCATTTCGAATGTTGAACCAGGAAAGGAACTGTCTAAATGTCAAAAATAATTCCATAGTCAAATTCTACAAATTGCCATTTTTATCGCATTTTCTTTACAAATGTACAATATGTATGTATTATGTCATTTAATTTGTCATTTATATAGATACTTCATTCTGTGGAATTATCTGTCATTTCAGAATCTTTCATCATTTATATTAACTTTTGTCCTTTGTATCAATATGAATGGCAATTGGAGTGAAGTAGAATAGAAAAGAGCTTTCAAAGGAATTTTACTACTTGTCATTTTGATCATTCTCAAAGAAGGTTTTTCAGAAGTTTGCAACAAGCAGGTATTTTTTTTATTAATCTTCATTTTATGCAATCAGCTTTCATTACGAATGCAAGTGGAATGGAACGTGCTAATTAGTAGTATTGTCATTTGTATCCTTTTCAATGATGAACATTTTTAAATATTATCATAATTAGCTCTTAATTATTGCGCTCTACTCGAGAGTACATTGTTACAAATGACCTTCTTCAATTCAGTTAATCAATGGAATCGGGTAGAGAAATAGTTGGCGCTGTTACTCACCTGTGGTCGTCGCTGGCATGCTCCTCCTCGTTGTCGAAGTGGGAGCGATAGATGAGACGAGGCGCTGGTGGCGGGGCCGCCGGTGGCGGCGTCGTTTGCACCGCTTCGCTGCAGGTGGTGGGCAGTTGGGTGGATGCCGTGGCAACTGTTGCTGATGTGGTTGAGGCAATTGCATGGCCCGTTGCTGTTGACTGTGACTGTTGCTGCTGGAGTTGGTGTTGGTGTTGGTGTTGGTGTTGCAGCTGTGATTGGGACAGGGGCAATTGTCGCGCGTTTTGCTGCTGCAGCTTGTTGGGGCTGGCATTGGCGGAGTTCTCCTGCTGCTGCAGCAGCAGCTCGAGTTTGTCGCGCGATAATCGCTCGTGATTGTTGGCGGGCAGCAGCACCGGCACCGGCAGCAGCTCCTTGCTAAGCTGTTCGGCCTTTTCCTTTTTTCGCTTCTTCTCCTTGTACGGGCTCGAGCTGGAGCTGGAGCTGCGTTTGCGTCGACGCGCGGGCAACTCCTGCTTGAGCATGAACTCCTGCTTGACGCTGTTCGGCTTATACTTGGCCTCATAGCCGGCATCCAGCTCCGGCTCGGGCTTAACGCCGTGCTCATGCTTGACGCCGCCAAGCAGCTTGTTGCCAGCCGCTGCCCCAGCTGCACCACCCAGCGCACCACCCACATAGCCATTGGGCGCATAGATCTGTTGCAGTTCCTTGGGCGTGCGGGCGCCCTCCGCGGAACGGCTGCTCAGATGGCCGTTCTGCTGCGTCTTCAGTCTCTCCGGCTGGTGGTGGTGCGGCGGGTGGTGCGAGTGCGTATGCGAATGCGAGTGGTGGTGCTGGTGATGCTGCTGCTGCTGTTGCTGGTGGTGCTGTTGTTGTTGGCTGCCATCGGCTGCATATAGTCTGTAGCTATTCTGATACCATTCGGGCGGCACACGCGCCAGCTTGCTCAGATCGATTTTGCACATGAGCGAAGTCAGATGTGGTGTGGTGGTGCGTGCCGGTGATGCCAATGTGGCGCCCAGCAGCTGTGTGGGCGTGGCCCGCGGCTTAAGCTCTTTGGCTTGCTGCTGCTGCTGCTGTTGTTGTTGCTGCTGCTGCTGTTGCTGCTGTTGCTGCTGTTGCTGTTGTTGCTGTTGTTGCTGCTGCAGCTGCTCCTCGGACTGATCAATGATAACGACCTGACCCTGCTTCTTGGCGCCGCCCTCTTTGGGATTGAAGATACGCGTCAGCGTGCATATCTTCTTTTTATCACTCTTGCGCTTGCCACTGCGATGGGCATCGTCCTCATCGCTGCTGCTGCTGGCGCTGCTGTTGCTGCTGCTGTCGCTGCTCGCGCTGCTGCTGCAATCGCTGCTGCTGAGACGTTGCTGCGCGGACTGCTTGAGCGTTTGCAGTGGCAGCTCGGGCGCAAAGTGTCCCTGCAGCAATTGCTGCTGCTGCTGCTGCTGCAGCTGATGATGTTGCTGCAGTTGTTGCTGTTGTGGCTGCTGCTGCTGCTGCTGCTGCAATTGTTGCTTTTGCTGCTGCTGTTGTTGCTGCTGCTGCAAAAACTGTTGCTGTTGCTCTTCGGTTTCGCTGCTGCTGCTGTTGCTGCTGTTGCCTAGGCTGAAGCGACGCTTTGCCTTGCTGCTGGCCACGCCCACTTTGTTAATTTTCACAATACGCTTTTTGGCGGGATTTTGTGCTGCTGCCGCAGCCACTGCTGCTGCTGTTGTCACAGCTGGCGCTGCTGTGGGTATGTCGGTGTCGCTGCCGCTGCTGCTGCTGTTGCTGTTGCTCGACTTGGTGCTGCTGCAGCTGCTGCTGCTGCTATCCTCGTCGCTGCTGCTGGCCGCGCGCACAGCTATGGCTGCTGCTGCTGCTGCTGCAGCGGCAGCTGCTGCTGCTGCCATTGCTGCATTGGGCTTTTTGGTGGGCGTGTTGCCATTGGAGCTGCTGTTGCTGCTGTGCTCACGCTTGCGGCTGCCAGCAGCAACTGTTGCTGCCGTGCCGCTGCTGCTGCTGCTGCTGGCGGTGCCTTTGGCCAGCGGTTTCTTTGCCGCCGTCAGCGTTGGTCCCTTGGCCTGGGAGCTGCTCGCCGAGGCGCTGCTCAAGTTGCCGCTCTGCTGCTGCTGCTGCTGCAGCTGCAGTTGCTGTTGCTGCTGCTGCGCCTGTTTGCGTGGCCTGCCGCGCCCCTTCTTAATAGCTGGCGCCGCGGCTGCTGCTGCTGCTGCTGCCACAGGCATCACCGATGCTGCTGCTGCGTTGGCGGCAGCAGCTGCTGCTGTTGCTGCCAGCTCGAGCGCATGCTTCTTATTGCTATTCGCTGGCTCGTCCTCATCGCTGGAGTCCAGCGGCGGCGCCGTTGCTGCCGACATTTTCTTCTTGCGTGGCTTCTTTTGGCGCGGCTTTGGTGAGGCCGGCAGCGGCCCGATTGGCGTCAACGTGACGCTGTTGGGCTGCGCCTTGTGCTGTGTTGCTGGCGGTACGCGCATCACTGTGGTAATGGCCGCCGGCACGCCAGGTATTTGCAGAGTTTCACCTGGTCCCGGCATCGGCAACACCTCGCTGCTGCCGCCGGCGCTGTCGGAGCTGCTGCTGCCGCTGCCGCTGCTGCCGCTGCCGGAATCGGACAGACGCGACTCGCGTTTGATTTGGTTTTTTGGCAAAGCGCCGGCCAGCGCTAGCTGCTCCGCCGTCAGCTGCTGCTGTTGCAACAGCAACTGTTGCTGCTGCTGCTGCTGTTGCTGTTGCTCCAGCTGCTCCTTTTTGACGGTCACGCTCAGGCCGACACCGTAGCGCTGCTGCTGCTGCTGGTGCTGTTGGTCTGCCTGCTCATCCTCGTCATCGTCCATGTGCCGCGAGTCGTCGTGCAGCTTCTCATTCTTGACAATGGCCGTGGTCACGTCAATGGACTCGGGTATAATCTGTGCACCGCCCGGCAATATGCCGGGCACCTTCATGCTCACATTGCCCATGGCATTGGCCACGCCCGGGGAGACGCTCTCGGCGGCTGTCTGATTCGCTGGCTTGGGAAAGAAGCGGCTCAGATGCCAGCGATTGCTGTCCGTTGGCGAGGGCGTCTTGTTCGACGAGTTGGAGCTGCTCATGGTGCCCATGCCGGAGCTGCTGGAGCCACCGCCGGTGCTGCCGCTGCCGCTGCCAACGCCACCGGCCGCGCTGCCAGTCGAATTGACTGCACCACCAGGCCCGGCACCAGTTCCGCCCAGGCCGCTGGAGGTGAGCAGGCCGCTGATTGTATTCGCTCCGCTTGCAATTATCGTTTGGCTGTATTTCTTTTTGCTGCCATTGGCGGTGGCTGCCAGACGCTGTTGCTGTTGCTGCTGCAGCAGCAACTGTTGCTGTTGATGTTGTTGCTGCTGGTGCAACAAATGTTGCTGCTGTTGTTGTTGCTGCTGCTGTGGATCACCTTTGCTGCTGGCCTCGCTGCCCGATTCGCTGGAATCCGATTCGGAACTGTTGCTGCTGTTGCCAGCGGATCGGCTGGGGGGAGGCAGAGCAAGAGAAAGAGAGAGAGAGAGAGAGAGAGAGAGAGTGGAAGCGTTATATTGTGTATACCCTGTAGTGCTTGTCAAACTGTTGCTCACCTATCCTTTTTGCGTTCATCATCGGATTCGGATAGCTCTAGATCATTCTCAAGGCTGAAATAATGTTAATTATAAATAAATATTGATTAAATTCAAGAAACTATTTGATTGATTAAATGTTTGTCTATACAATCTACAGTGGTTTTTTGTAAATTTGTCATTCAGATTTTTCAGTTGCCAGCAGGTTTTAAATTATTTGCGTACTCAAAAATACTCGGAAGTAGAGTGGAAACTTGAGTTCTAGCCTCAGTTTAGGGAATGCACGTAAAAGCAAAGTCGAAGGACAGTTGTTTAAATATGTAAGGGTTCTGGCTAATTACAATGTAATACACAGGACATTATTATGTAACACCTAGCAGAAGGACATGTGTCCTTGCTTTGTAAGCTTGCAATTCAGTTTTTCGTATCAATCATTTATAGATTTTTTATATAAATATCTTTGCCATTGAATTCAATATAATTCGTTTTCCCAATTATTTTCCGAATTTTCCATTAATTTTGAGCATTCTCTACTTATCAAATTTTGATAATCGCTTTGGGGATCCTCTAGTTAGACCCGTTTTACTTACCACGAGTCCTGCTTTTCCAGCGAATGATTCTTTTCCGTTTTGAGAGGCTTTATCACTGGCGGCGTGGGCGACGCCTTTGGCGGCGTCGGCGTCAGCTGCTGCATGGGCGCAACGGCGCCCATGGCCATGGAGGGGGGCACCGTTGTGGCACCCGCCATGGGTGGCAGTGGCAGCGGCAGCTGGCTGGCCTGCGGGGGCGTCGTCAACAGCGGGGCAATGGGCGATGTAATGGGCGCTATGGGCGCCAACAGCGGCGTCATCAGCGAGGAGGCGCCTGCCGCCGGCGGGGAATTGAGGGGACCGATGGGATCCACCGCATCAAATGCATATTTAAACTTATTGGGCCCGTTCAGGTTGTAGTTCTCGCGCATTGGCGCATGCGGCGTTGCCGCAATCGATGTCAGCGGCGTCACGCGATAATTGTTGGTCATTTCGGTGATTATTTTGTTAATATGATTCTGAGAGAGATGGAGAATAACAAGGGAATGTTAGACATTAGGCAATTCCGCTCAAATTGTTAATTATACCAATGAAAAATATAAAGAATTTAAATATAAAACGACTAAGAAATACACCTAAATAAATATATGTAATACCATACGCAAAAAAGTTGTCTTTTCATAAAACTTTTTCTGTCGCTTTTAAAGGTTTTTCTTTGATTTTGCTTACTAAAGAATATTGTTAAATGTATTTTTTTTAAATTGAAGAACATTTTTTTGGTGATTTTTTTTTTTATATTAATAGCAAGTTCTTCCTTTCATCTCAATTAAACCAACTTCTAAGTACAAATATATTAAAAAGATTTAATAATTCTTTTGCCTAAGTATTTTTCTTACTAACAATAACTAGTTATTATATTTATCGATAGCTATTTTTTGATGTTAAATTCAACTTTCTCAGCTCTTATTGGACTTACCTCTGGTGGCGGTGGCTGGAGTCCTGCGGTGCTGCTGGGTCGCTTGCCGCTGGCCGATGGCGGTACAAAACGTCCGCCATTGGGCAGCGCCGGCGCCGGTGGCCCCAGGAAGGACTTTTCGCGGCCATTTGGCATTTGCGTGGACATGGGCGGGCCGAGGGGCGATGACGTTGACGCTGACGTCGGTGCCGCTGTGGCATTGTTTGAGACGCTGGACGAGTTGTTATTGCTGGAGGAGGACGACGATGAGGATCTGGGCGGGCCACGTGGCGGCGCCATGCCGCTACTCGACGGTATGTCGTTCTTCATGGGCTGACCAGGATAGCCGCCACGCCCATTATAGGGCGGCTTATTATCCGCCTGCTTCAGATAGGTAGGCGCCCGCTGCTGCTGTTGATAGTGTTGCTGCTGCTGCTGCTGTTGCTGCTGCTGCTGTTGCTGTGATGTGGGCAGCTGGCCAGGCACCGAGGCGGATGAGGAAGCAGATGCTGATGATGATGAGGAGAAGGAGGTGGTGGCGCTGCCAAAACCCTTCGGCAGCGCCTGCAGTCGCGCATTTGACGCACCCGGCGCCTGCCTATAGATGCCCACCGTGGAAGCATTCATATAGTCCCGGGCATCAACGAAGTCACCCAGTGCGGCGGTAATTTCCGGGTCACCCTCGTTGGGATTGAGGCGACGCGGCTCCCCAAATAGACTAGTCTCTCGATCGTCGCTCTGAATGCCCTGTTGGCGTTCATATTTTTCGCGCTCGCGTCTTTTGCGCCGTTCGGGATCCTCCATGCTGCAAGGTTGCAACAAAGTGCAAGAGGAGTGAAAAAATAGATATTAAAGTTAAGGACTTTACGACTTTCTTAACGTAACAACAATATGAATTGGTTACACAATTATAAATAACAAACAAACATGACAGGCAACAACATGAACAACAACATCGACAACATCGACAACATCGACAACATTGACAACAACAACAACGGGAAGAACAACAACAAACATGGCTTGGCGTGTAATGCAGCAGTTGACAGCAGTTTGACATGCGCTACGCTGCGCTGCGGGTGCTATGTAAACAGTTGGGCATGCATTGTGCTTGCAGCGAGTATTGTTAGTTTTTTTCATATTTTTATTAATTAGGCAATGTTTTCTTTAAGTGGTTTATCACCCCAACTATTAATTCGCAACGTAAATTCACTTTTTTTCCAATAGAAATTTTTCTGAATGTAGTATAATTAAATTGACTTATTTAAATTTATAGAAATGTTAGAAGTGTCTAAGGATGAAAAATATCCACTATAACAACATTTACAACACTGATAATAATTACTAGCGGTAAACATTTTAGTTTCATCAATCTACTTTCATTTAATTGATTTAATTAACACTGTTGAAATTATTAAAAATTGTTTCATATTTGGAAAAGGATGAAATATAATTCAAAATATATTTGTAGACATTTTAAATAGCCATAAATATATTTTTAACAAGGAGGTCGCTTTTACATATTTTTAAACTGGCAGCATTTAAGAACTAAAACTAATTGGATTCAATAAAGTTCTCGTGCTCTGTAAACTGCCCATGGCAATATTGCACGTGCAGGTATTTAAAGGCTTTCAGCTCTGTTAGGCGTAAACAGTTTGACATGCACACCAGCACGGTTTGATGAGCATGTAAACAAAATATCTGATTGCGAATCAAATTGGAGGAGAGGGAAAACATGGATTGTGTGCGTGTGAGTGCGCGTGCGTGCATGTGTGTGTGTGTGTGTGTGTGTGTGTGTGTGTGTGTGTGTGTGTGTGGTGTAAACGCGACAGTTGTTTAATTTAAATATTTGCTTTTGCTTTGGCAAGAATTTTGCATGTGCTTTTGTTAATAAAATAAAACATTTTTGGGCGCATGCTAAAACATACACACACACACACATAGTAACAAACAAATGCGCAATGAGTGTGTGGTGCGGAGGAAGGGGGTGAGTGTGTGGGGGGGGGAGGGGGGAGGGGGGTTTCAGGCTTGAACACACAGCGCAACGCAATGACTCTCAAAACTTACTTATAATTCAGGTTGTACGAATTGTTATTGTACTGCAGTAGTTGTTGTTGCTGCTGCAGCTGCTGTTGTTGCTGTTGATGGTGTTGCTGCTGCTGGTGTTGTTGTTGTTGCTGTTGTGCCATAACGCGCGCTTCATACAAATTCTTTTTTTTTTTTTGTTAATTAAATTCGCCGGCGCCGCGAACACAACACGCAAACAAGCAAAAACATGAACACACACACAGAGACAACAAAAACCGAGAAAAAAAAACGTTTATGTATGTGAACTGGTGTGTGTGTGTGTGTGTGTGTGTGTGCGTATAGGGTTAAACAGAAAGTGTTTGTAAAAGTTTGTCGCGCTCGTTCTTTCGCTCTCCCAATGCTCTCTCTCTCACTCTCTTTCTGTTGCTTTGACGCGCCTATGTTATCGTTGTGATTTTGCCCTTGTGATGGCAGAAGCGGCGTCGCGGCGATTTGTATTGTTTGTTGTTGCTCTCTTGAATTTCTTTCTGTGCTGTGTTTGCCTTTCTTGTTGTTGTTGTTGCTGTTGTTGCTGTTGTTGTTGTTGCTGTTGTTGCTGCCCTTGTGTGTGGCCGCAACATTTTCGCTATCATTTGCGGCTCGCTGTCAAAGCTGCTGCTGTTGCTCTCAGTGTGTGTGCGTGTGTGTATGTGTCTCTATCTTCGCTCTCTTTCTCTCTCTCTCTCTCTCTTTCTCTCTTTCTGTTGCAGGCACCGGCCTTTTATACAGTTTTGGAAGCACTTGGCGTGTCTATTTTGTTAGTTCGTTGCGTTTAAGTAAAAAAATTTATGAACGATTTGTTTTTTTTTTTTTGTTTTTTTGTTTTTTTGTTTTTAACAGCCTTTTCAGTATAAATGCCGATTTTGGTTACATTTGTTCTTGTTATTTTGATTACATGTAAGTCTTTTTATTGCTTTGTGTGTGTGTAGTTTGTGTAACAAATTTGAAGTTGCAGTACCTGTAAAAAAACAAACAGACAAAAACAATTGCAAATTAATATTATGTGAGTACTGCAGAATACTTAAAAACTAACAGAAACTTTTTAAAATAATAATACACCTTAAGCAATTAGAAGAATATACCTCGCATTAACATACATAACGGCAAAGACAAGCACAGCCAGACGGGCACCGTTACACGGACATCTTGTTAAAGAAGAGACGACATCCACGGTCACTTACACACTCGCATATGTATGCACACAGCTGCACACATGCAGGGATTATACGCTGAGCCACTTTCCAAACAACAACAAACAACAACACTGAGCAGAACAGCGGAAGAGAGAGAAAGAGAGGAGAGGCCACGCTTTTAGGCAATGGCTTAAGCGCCGGCAGATGGCATCTTAGTGCAACTAAGAGAGTGAATTGAGTGAGTGTTAACGGAACCATTAAAATTGAGCTCGAATACATTTTGGGTAATTGCACTTCTAAGTGGCAAGTTTGTAGGGAGATTTAGATTGAGGATTTCTTTTTTATTATATACTAGAAAATATTTCAATACATTTTTAGTCAGAAAACACATTAATTTCCCATTCAATAAAATAGCAAACGAAAAATCAAACAGTAGACCAAAGACAAATTATTGTAGCACACGCACACAGCACACAGTTAAAGAGAGGGAAAGAGAGCGCGTCACCCACAACAGGCAGCAACAATATATAAATTAGGCAACAGCCGTCCACCGAAAAATAGAAAAAAAGGAACAACAAAAACTTTGTCAAGCTTTTTGCCCGTCTGTTTGTCTGTTGCCGACTTGTCTTCATTCATTTTGCTTGTGTGCATAAACTATTTGCGAGCACTGTGCGGATTGTCCATCTAGCCAGAGAAATAAAATAATTAAATGCTGGTCCTCGGCTTTTGGCTCTTCAGTTGAGATGCTAACAAAATTTATAAGACAAATAAATTTTAACAGCAGCAGCAGCAGCAGCAGCAAAAGCATAAAAACATCCCAAAAACACAGCAGATTTGTGGCAGCACCCTCAGCGCCCGCTCCCATTGCACCCCGTTCTCGCCTTGCACAGCTGTAAAAGGGTCAACATTGTGCGTCTGATGTCCTGTGACCAGAAAATTAATTTAACTGACACGTTTTTCATTCCACATAAATAAAAAGTACATTTTTTGTCATAAATAAAATTGTATTGCATACGCCAAGGAGTCGGCCGGCATACTGTTAGGAGGGTGGAAATTTTCACAGCTGACATGGAAATGAAAACTTTTTGATTTGTGCTAGTGAATAAAAGCAGCTGCTTGCAATTTAAGCCGATCAAACATTAATTATAATATTAAGTGAGAAAACGTGTTGATTAAAGTTTAGTGAAATGTTTAAAAGTTAAACAATTCGTGACATACAAAAGAATCATAATTAGAGACAAAGCGAGAGAGAGGCATACAGGCAAAACCAAGTGCAAGTCCAAAGGAAAGGTAAAGCTCAACATTCTTTTAGGCATACATGATTTTTTGAGAATCGCATAGAAGGCCGCTTTATAAAAGAATAGAGATAGTAAATTGTAAATCTTTATCAATTAAACTTTCAGCAAAGTATAACTGATATATTCAAAATGCAATCAAGTTCGAATTTGTGGTCTTGAATGTAAACTTCTTTGCTCACTTTGTAAATTAATCATGTTTCTTATTGATAACAAAAGTTTGCTGATGCTTCAGCACATACTCGCAGTTAAGAACAGAAGGAAAAAGATATTGGACAAAAAAAAAAAACGCCTTGGCAAACGCTTGGGGCCTTAAACATTTTCAATTTTTATGTTTTCTACCCAAAACGAACCCGCCCCTCCCCTCCCCACTCTCGACAATGCCTATTTATTTACTTTTGGGTTTCATTTTATTTTATTTATTTTTTTTGCAGGAAAATGGTGTGGCACGAACAGAGTTGGTGGAGGGGACAGCAAATATGATGACGACGTGGCGCAGCTGTTTACCGTTCGCTCGTTCGTTGCCTACTTTAGGGAGCTGCTTCTCGCCCCACCTCGCCACCCCCCTGCCCGATCCTTAGCCTGATGTTCGCAGTAGAAGCCGGCCGGCACAGGCCACAGAGGCTCCTCCGCTTCGAGGCCCGGACTGGGGCACATGTTATGAATTTTATGCAAATATGCTGCGCCTCTCGTTACCAATACTATCGCCCCCTTCCCCCACCCCCTTGCACACTCGACCCTCCGCATGCCTGCTTGCAACACTTTACCCACGACTCGGCAGACATGTATGCAAAAAGTTTAAGAAAATTCGCCATGTTGTGCAAACTTATTTTTCTTCTTTTGTTTTTCTCAGTGTTTGCCATTCTATTAACATTTAAATCAGCTTTTGGTTAAGATTTTGAGCCGAAAGGTTTGCTTGTTTTATACTTTAATAACTGTCTATCGGTCGATTTACTTAGTTTCTCATCTAAATTAAATCAAAGCCTTCAAAGATGCAACTTAAAGAAAAGTAAATGAAGCATAAGGTCGAAATGTTGTTAATTCCGGCCAGATTGTGTTGAAGGAGATTTTGAAAGCGAATTGCTGTAAAATTCAAGGTTTGATTTGCATGCCGAATAAAGGAATAGGCGAGTTTTTCAGGGCATTTTCCTGTGGCTCATCATGAATCATTTAACAACTTGTACAAACATTAAATTGCGCATGAGAATCCTTTTTACCAAAAGGGGCCGACACAAGCTGCCTCGGCATACAAAATTCAATTCAATTCAATTCTGGGAGTAGTCACAGGACACACAAGCGGACACAAGGACACGGACAACACATGCGACTAATTTCATATTCATATGCATATTTAGACTAACTACCGAGCCGTAAGCACTAGGGCAACTGAAAAGCGACCAAGACAATCTCAGGCTCTGCCAGTATAGAAAAGGATGTGTGCGAGTGTGTGCAAGTGTGTGTGCGTGAAGGAAAAGCAAAAGGCAGGCGACGACGATGACGATGAGAACGACTTCATGCACATCGGCACGCCTAATTTATAACACAAAAGTCTACTTAACTCCCCAATGCCAACTATGCCAAGGCACACGAGCAGCAGCAGGCAGCGCTACTGAAAGTCAGCCAGACGCGCTAAGCCGCCAAGTGCTGGACGAAGGAGCTTCACAGACCACAAGACAGAGAGAGAGAGAAAGTGCGAGAGAGAGAGAGTGCGAGAGAGACAGCGATTCAGAGCGTGCAAGAGTGAGAGTTCAGATACCTAGCTAGAGAGCAAGGTAACTGTGCAAAATAGTAATTAAAAATTACACGAATTCAAGCTAGAAATAATCTAAAAAAAAATTCTTAAAAAATTGTACAAATAAATATCACAAAAATTTCAAAATTATAATATTTCAAAAACTGCATATAATATATTTTAAAATTTTGTTTTTTTTTTTTATGCAAACGCAAAACATAGAAAAAAACTTCATATTCGCAATATTTAGAATGAATATTTAAGAAAATTGTATAATAACAAAAACAAATAAAAAATCCCAATCAATAAATGCATACAAATCATGGGGTTAAATTTATAATCTAAAATCGTTAGTTTAAATAAAAATAATCATATTTAGCTATATAAAAATAAATTGAAAATTGTGTAAAATCGAATATTGGACATTGTGGCCTGCGACTTACAATAGCACTTGAGATACGAACTCATTTTCCCGTTCAGTGTCTAAAGTTTATTAAGATATTTTACAATTTATCTCACAAAGAGTTTAAAATATAAAAATGTGTGTTCGTTAATTACCTATAACTTTATTATCTTTCGATAATTTCAAAGAAAACGATTAAGATAAAATAAAAAGGATTTTTTCTTTCCTGCTATCGATGAGAGCATAAGATAACTTCCATCATTTCAGATAAACAATTTTATAAAAGTTTAAGAAATTATCTAAAATAAAATTAAAAATGATCGAAAGCTCAATTCTCAGAGAGAAAGTGAAAATTGTATATCTATTATGAATACGTAGATTCTCAAAGCACGAGCGCCTTCGTGACACGACACGCGCTCATCTCTAGCAGCAATGCTTGTGGGGCCAGTGCATAAACAAAAGTGTAAGCATGTGTGGGTGGATTTGCCCAAGCTGCCACTTGCTGGTTTTACTCTGACTGTCCTTCCGTCCCTCTGTCTGTCTCTCTGTGAGTCTGTCTGTGTGTCTGTGTGTTTGTGTCTGTATACATGGGTACAGGATTTATTATCAAATGGGCGCCATAGACTAACGACGATAGCCACAGTTCTAAACCAAGTTCCTTTCCCTGTCCTCCTGTCTGTCTCTCCCTCTCTCTTTCTCTGTCTATCTGTCTCTCTGTCTGTCTGTTTGCCTGTCTTTCCGACTGTCGCGGTGTGCAGAGAGTCAACAAATTTTATGGCACTCATTAAACTTTCTTTCAGCAAAATGCGCCAGCGACTCGACTCCAATTGCGACCTAAGTTGAGTCGAGTCTCTATGTTTTGTGTCTAGTTAATTTATTTCCTTAAACGTGCGACCATATAGTTGACGCTCCTCCCTCTCCCTTTCCCTTATTCATTGACTCTCTCTCTGTGCTTGAAATTTATTTAATTATTTTGAGTAGTTTAGCATTGAGTCGTGTGTGTAAAATCAATCTGGAATCACAGATGGGGCCTGCCTTCAATAATTGCAGTTGTTTTCAACTTAAATTATTTTCCAAAGGTTTAAGCGAACTTGAAAAGCATTCAATATATTAAACAACAAAATTAAAACAATAAATTAAAAGTATTTCTTCTTTACATAAAATACATCCAATTGACGTTTCTCAACTTTGCATTAACATTTTCTGTTATTCTTTTGCTGTTAACATGCTGTTATGCGAAATATGTTACAGTTTTTCAACTTTAATACAATCCATTAATATTAATTAATGTTTCGCTTATTATTTTTTCCTTTATGTATGCTAAAAAGGCAAAGAGCAATACGCACACCATAAACATATATTTATATTTATTTAATTTGAAGTGAAAGCAAACAG